AAAAAAGGAAGTAGTCCTCTTTTATTTTTTATTTTTTTTATTTTATCTGTTGATTAGGGCCGGGAGGAAAGTATTGTTGGGTTGGTTCCCTACCTGCGTTTTCCCTCCCCACCCACCCTTTGCATGCATTTCCAAGTTGGTACAGTGCCACGTCAGCAACAGTGCCACGTCCACAACAGTGCCACGTCAGCAGTGCCACGTCAGCAACAGTGCCACGCCAGCAGTGCCACGTCAGCAATGCCATGTCAGCAGTGCCACGTCAGCAACAGTGCCATGTCAACAGTGCCACGTCAGCAGTGCCATGTCAGCAGTGCCACATCAGCAGTGCCACGTCAGCAACAGTGCCACGTCAGCAGTGCCCCGCCACCATGACGGGCGTAGCTCCGGGCATGCCAGGCCAACTGGCCAACGAGTCTATTGCCGACTATAAACAGCGGTTCCAGACTCAGCTCACACTGATCGAGGCTGAGGAACAGCGCCAGCTGGCAGCCGAGGCTGCCCGCTTACAGGCTGAAGCAGCGGCAACAGCTGAGAAGCAGCGGCTTCAAGCCGAAGCAGAGGCAGATACTCAGTCACGCCGCAAGGAAGCCCAACATCTGCTGCAGCGGCATGAAGCCACTAGCATCGAAAAGCTAAAGTATTGGCACTTTGAACCATCCGAAGGGCACGACGACGCGGCACCGGAAGAGCAGCACAGGGAATTCATGCCCGAACTCGTGACTCGGTTGGTTTACGCTTGTAACCACCTGCAGTCCGAGCTGGAGAATATGCAGCGGGCCATGCGGAACCACAAGGCTCAGCACGAGGATGCAGAACGGGCACTCGACTCCCGTGTACAGGACTTGGAGCAGACTGCACCAAGACCGGAGGCTGGCGAGTCCAGCAATGCACCCTCTGCCCGCCAACTGGAGGAACGCGTCGATCATGTAGTGGCAATGCTAGGTGACATCAGCACCTTCGCAGCGCCAGCCACCGTCAGCCAGCAGCTGGACACACTGAAGACCGAGATCAGGCAGCGACAACAGCCGTCTGACCCCGATCGCAGCACCAGCACGGCAAAGCATTACAAGATGCCGACGTTCCAGATCGAGAAGTTCGATGATTACACACTTCAGGACCCGGTCGTCTGGTGGCAAGGATTCACAACAGAGTTGGGGATTCATGAGGTCCCCAAACATCTGTTCATCGGCGCATTGTTCCTTAACGTCAAGGGAGGATGCCAGATCTGGCTCAGCCATATGGCAACCGTCCACGGCGTCGAGGTCTTCGACCTTCACACGAAGGTCTCCTGGGAGGATCTGACAAAGGAATGGAAGAAGCGGTTCATCGTTGACGACGCCCCGGCGCTCGCCATGAACCGCATCTTCACGATGGCTCAAGGAAACACAGCGACACGTGATTGGCTCACGGATTGGCAGAAGATCGTGGCGACGCCCGATCTGGACTTACCATTTCCGCATCTGCGCCGGGAGTTCTACAACCGGTCATGCGCCGCTTTGAGCCTCGCACTTGGTGATCGCGAGCAGTACAACACCTTCGCTGAAATCATCAACAAGGCGAGGGAGATCATCAAGACAAACAGGGCAGCTGCACACCAGAAGTCAACGTGGCAGCCAACCTATGTGGAGAAGGTGAAAACTGGTTCGCGACCGCAGCAGTTCGCTGCAGTCCAATCGGACAACATTGTGGAAGACCCGGCAGCCACCCAAGCGTCACGTGAGGGAGATCAGGTGGCTGCTGTCCAGCCGCGAAGCAACAACAAGTCCCGAGGAAACGGGAAGGCGAAAACCGCATCGTCGGCCGGAAATGGACAGCCAGCACCATGGGTCAAGTTTCACTTGACCGAGGCCGAGTACAAGTACCGCGACCGCTACGGCTGCTGCTATTGGTGCAATAGCACCAAGCACAAGACCTCCCTTTGCCGGGATCAGGGCAAGGAGGATGTTCGGCCTCGCATCAACTCGGGAAACTGAGTTGCGTGGGAGGTGAGACGACTCCACCTCTCACTCCGCCAGATTCGGCCGCCTTGCTAGCGGCCTCCTACACATCTGGGGAGGATGCGAATGTCGTGAGTTCTCAGTATGCAGACGAGGACTATGCTGTCCACTTGGTCCCACCGTTGGACCAACCACTCCACGTGCAACAATCTACCGCATGCACGGTTTCATCACCATCGACAACCAATTCGGCAGTTTCGCCGCCATCTGCCGCCGGGGATTCAACGTCATGGTCAAGACTTGAAGAGCTCAACCTGTTGACATTTGCGGACTTCCAATGGATGCCCCTTCCCCGGTCCGATCGAATGCCGAAACCGCATTGCAACGTGCTCATGGCACAATTGCGGGATTACTTGCACACTGCAGTACCAACTCCGTTGATGGACGCCGGAGTAGAGGTTGTCGACCTTCCCGCCTACATTGCGAAGATCGACCGCGAGTTCAAGACGCAACAGTACGACGACATCGACGCACCATTGTTATGTGTACGCATTCAGATCGGAGAGGCGACCTGCAGCGCTTTGATCGATTGGGGAGCATCTCGCAACTACATGAGCCAGGACTTTATGGTGCGCGCTGGCCTTGGCCCACACGTCCGGAGGAAGTCCAGGCCTACGCAAGTCACATTGGCAGAGGGTCACACGCACAAGTCAATTGACCGGTGCATTGATGACGTCCCCGGGTACTTTGCCCCGCATGCAAGCGAGGTGGTGTCCTTCGATATTTTGGACACCAAATTCGACATGATCTTGGGCATGTCATGGCTGCGAAGCGAGGATCACCCGGTGAACTTCTACCGCCGCACCGTTCACGTTCGTGATCGGAACGGAGTACTAGTCCCATGCACGGTAGCTCCTCCTCACCCTTCAATCAGCTGTCATGTGGTGTCCGCCGCAAGCATGCGAGCTTCCATCATCAAAGACGACATCGAGGAGATGGGGGTGTGTTTTCTCAACGTCCTCCCGCCCCATGACGCTTCATCGACGGACTCATCTTCGGACCCACGCATCACCGAGCTTCTCGACGCCTACGGTGACGTGTTCGAAGGCCCGCACGGAGTAGTACCGGATCGGCCCATCCGCCACGAGATCATCCTCGAGGACGGGGCCGTACCTCCGCGCGGTTGCATCTACCGAATGAGCGAGGAAGAGTTAAGTGTGCTCCGGGCACAACTCGACGACCTTCTGGAGAAAGGCTGGATTCGGCCTAGCTCGTCGCCATACGGTGCTCCTGTTCTCTTCGTCTGGAAGAAGAACAAGGATTTGCGGTTGTGCATCGATTATCGCAAGCTCAACGCGCAAACGATCAGAAACGCCGGCCCTCTCCCACGCATCGACGACCTTCTCGAACGAGTGGGCGGCGCCAAGTTCTTCTCCAAGCTTAACCTCAAATCGGGATATCACCAACTCGAGATCCGGCAGGAGGACCGCTACAAGACCGCGTTTAAGACGCGATATGGGCATTTCGAATGGCTGGTTATGCCTTTTGGCCCTACGAACGCCCCAGCCACATTCCAAGCAGCTATGACAACGGAGTTCCGACACATGTTGGATAGATTCGTACTCATCTACCTCGACGACATCCTGGTGTACAATCGGAGTTTGAACGAGCATGTGGAACACCTGCGCACCGTTTTGGAGCGGCTACGACAAGCCAAGTACAAGGCCGACCGCGACAAATGCGAATTCGCGCGGCAGGAGCTGGAGTACTTGGGACATTATGTGACGCCGCAAGGCATCCGTCCGCTCGCGAACAAGATCGAGGCCCTCCACGTATGGCCCGAGCCCACCAACACCACGGACGTTCGTTCATTCATGGGGTTGGCGGGCTACTATCAGCGATTCATCACCGGGTACTTAAGGATTGTTGCACCTATGACGAGATTACAATCGCCAAAGGTGCCATTCGTATTCGATGACGACGCATGCCGGTCATTCCAAGCACTTAGGACGGCCATGCTCATGGCACCCGTCCTTAGCATCTACGACCCCACCCTGCCTACGAGAGTGACAACTGGCGCTTCCGACTATGGCATTGGGGCAGTCTTGGAACAACACGGCGGCGACGACTGGCACCCTGTGGAGTATTTTAGCCACAAAGTGCCTCCCATCAACTCGCTTGATGATGCAAGGAAGAAGGAGCTGCTCGCGTTCGTGATGGCTCTCAAGCGATGGCGGCACTTCCTCCTTGGGTGTCATAGGTTCACATGGGTTACGGACAACAACCCACTGACTTACTACAAGACGGAGGATACGGTGAGCAGCACGATCGGACGATGGATGTACTTCATCGACCAATTTGACTTCACACCGAAATATCTTCCCGGCCTCTCCAATCGCACAGCAGATGCACTCTCACGAAGACCTGATCTTTGCGCTATGACACATCATGCCTTCGCATTCGACGAGGAACTTCAGCGACACTTCATCCGGGGATATGAATCGGATCCGAACTTCGCTACGTTGTATGCGCAGCTATCTTCGGATCACCCGCCGACCAGCCACTATCACATTGTCGACGGGTACTTGCTCCTCCATTTGAGAGGCAAGGACTTATTGTGTGTCCCACGAGACCGTTGTCTTCGGACTCGCCTTCTCGGCGAGTATCATGGCTCGGGACTCGCCGGCCATTTTGGAGTCAACCGCACTATTGCACGGCTTCGACAACGATTCCGATGGCCCGACCTCATTACCGATGTCACTCGGTATTGCGACTCTTGCGAAGTTTGCCGACGAAGCAAGCCCCGCAATGGCAACCCCTACGGCGAGTTGCGTCCGATGCCTATTCCACGGGAACCCGGCCTCTCCATTGCCATGGATGTCACCGGACCATTTCCCCGCGATCGCCTCGGGCACGACGGCATCCTCACGGTTGTGGACCATTTGAGTAAGTATGCGCGTTTTCTCCCTTGCAAGTAGTACTCCACGGCTCCCGAGCTGGCACGCCTCTTGCACATCGGTTGGATTTGTGGCCACGGTGTACCGGAAGACATAGTCAGCGACCGCGACACTCGCTTCATGTCGGCATTTTGGACTGCTCTCATGCAGGAGGCCGGCACGAAGATGAAACCAAGTTCGGCTCGGCATCCACAGACGGACGGGCAGACGGAGCGGGCACATCAAACCGCTCAAATGATGCTTCATACGCTCATCCGTCCGGACCAGAAAGATTGGGTTGACCGCCTCCCCGACATCGAGTTCGCCTACAACACTTCGGTGCACCCGGCGATCGGCGTGACTCCATTCGAGTTGCACCACGGTGGCCGGAAATGCTGTATCTTCGCCGACCTTCTCCTCCCTCGACCAGCCGACCTTGACGCTGCCTGCTCTCCCGCTTCCGTCCGGAAGTACAGGGAATTGCTGGCTCAAGCCCTCGCGAATATGGAAAAGGCTCAAGTCCGCATGCAGCAGCAAGCCAACATGTGTCGCGTGCCATGTCCCATCCGCGCCGGTGATCTGGTTTGGGTCTCCGCGGAAGAGTTTGCACTGGAACAGGATGTTTCACGCAAACTGCTTCCCAAGTGGTTTGGACCATGACCCGTAACAGCAGCCGCGGGCGATGAGCCTGATTGCCCTTCATTTGTGATCAACATCCCCGCGCATCTGACGGTCCATCCAGTCTTTCACGCCTCGAAGCTGGCAACATATACAACAGCTAAGAGCGACGACTTCCCGGGCCGACGATCGCAGGACCCTCCATCTATGGATGGTCATCAGGAAGTTGACCGCGTCATCACGGATCGCAAGTACGACAACAAGCCTCGCMAGTACAAAGTTACATTCARAGCWTGYGATCCCGACGACACTCGGTGGATTTCAGGAACAGATTTGAAAGCGTCCGCACCGCTGATCTACGCTCACTACGAGCGACAAAGGTTAGCTCAGGGACCTTCATGACCTGCCCCTCCCACCCGGACTGTGGTCCCTCCCTCAGACAGACAGCTTCGCCCTCGCAGGTAAGCTCGGTCTTTCAAGGAGGGGGGGGTGTGGCATACTGCGTAGCCACATGGGCCTGCAGGGCCCGTCCCGCATTTCCAGCCTAAAAGCCTAGAAATAAGGGCTTACAGGCCCCTGTCGTTTCAGCCTGAAAGACTGAAAAACGAGGGCCTGCAGGCCCTATGTCGTTTCAGCCTAAAACAGGGCTTTTCAACCCTGAGGCTTTTCAGCCTGAAACGGAGGGCCACTTTGGGCCCCTCATAAGATCGACCTACCCACTTTGGGGCCCTCATAAGATCGACCTACCCTAAGACTCAGGCACAAAAACAGGGTTTCGGGAACAGGCTATTTCTGGCCTGTTCCCCACGACAGCCTCGAGCAGGAGCTGCAGCTGCAGCCCCTGACTCCCTTCGGCATTGGCAAGAGCAGCCTCCTGGACTGCCTCGCCCTGCAGCCAGGAGGTACCCGAGTAGTACATAGGAAGTTCCCATGCACTTCACGGGTAGGTAGTTGGACAGTAGGCACGAGTAGTCTTCAGGATTCGGCCGCAGCACTCAGGAGGAGCGCTGCAGTAGTAGTTAGCGCTAGCAGTAGTCTTCAGCGCTGGGCGCTCATAGCTGCAGTAGCAGTCTTCAGCGCAGGGCGCTAGTAGCTGGTAGGAGTAGCGTTGGAGAGAGATGGCTGGCGGAGGCCAGCGGTACTTACCTGTGGCGCCATAGCTCCAGCTCCATCTTCGAGGTACCTGCATCAAGGCGCCAACTTCACAGGTTAGTACTGGACACAGAGAGAGAGAGAGTTCTTCTTCTTCCTCTTCTAAGTCCACCATCTCTTCTTCACCCTCTCACCACCTGACTTCTCAGTATCAGCAGACTGCGACAGAGAGAGAGAGAGAGTTGTGACTTGAGACTTGACGACAGAGGATCCAGACTCGACATTGGGATTCAGACATTTTGACGAGGGACTATTTGGGCCTGTGCCGAAGACTTGGTGTTGACGACATTCCCATCTTCCCCTCTTCTTCGTCTAACCCCTCCTCTTCTTCATCTGTGTATGGTTGGGGCTGGTGCATTCTTCCTGTGTGAGCGCCAGACCCCTTCACAGCATGGAATGATGACGATGATGTATGTTCTGGGCTGCATTGCAATATTGATTGTTCGGATCATTGGTATCTAAGTTTTCCGCTGCGCTATCTTGTACTTTGTTAGAGAGGTCGGTTCTTGTTCTGGTCTGCACCTTTACAGTATGCAACACCCCCCCTCTCCCCCCCTCTCTCCCCCTCCCTTTTCTCTCTCTCTCTCTCTCTCTCTCTCTCTCTCTCTCTCTCTCTCTCTCT